ACCAGAGAAGTGACCCCATGGCTGCCTCATGACCAGCTACATTGGAAGAGCACACCTGGAAAGCTGATGAATAATGTATGGAGGCCCTCCCCTAAAACCTTCCCTAAATATTTTCACCTACAAGAGAGACATAAATATGCTCAGGATGAAGGACCCAGAGCATTCTCTCCCTCAGGGGAGCATGTCCATGCCATTCCCTTCCTCCTTCTTCCCTCTAAGGGAAAGGGCCTATAGCCTAGATTTGCAACACGGGGAGTAATGGGCAGTGGCAGCCTGTCCCAGGCTAACCCCCTGAACCTGTCTCCAAGACCCCCTTTCTCTGACTTCTTAGTGAGCCAAAGCAGCCCAGCCTAGGCTCTCCTTACTTCTTCTATGTCCTTCCTTGTTTCACTCCCTTAAATATAGCCTTGCTGTGCAAATAAATTATTACTTACTTTGGTACACTTTGTCTCTGGATTGAAATCTTTCCAAGAAGACAAGAATCAAAGTCTCATTGTCTCACCAGTAACATTTTTGGTGCTGTGCCCTTGGATGGTTCTTACCATGACTCACAATTTCTGCAGACTTTACAGATATCAAAACAAAACTAAAATCCACATGGGAAATTGTGCCTTCAATGCTGGAAACTCCTGGCCTCCAGCCCACATTAATACTTCTTGCAATTAACAAAAAGCCTTTACTTACAAGTACTTACAAAAATGGAAAAATGAACTAGAAGTGATGTCAAGTTAATATGGTCAAAATGTAGTCTTTTGATGCCCAAGTTAAGTTTTGTTTGCAAATCAGAAAATGCCAACTCTAAAAGCCAACTAAAACTGAATAAATGGGAAGCTTATCTTGATTAGAAATTAGAGGCTTGCAGGAGATGCACAGGTAAATTGCACCCAGGATAGAAGAACCAGAAAGTATGGTCTTAAGTGAGAGGTGAAAAGGGAATTGTATACATTCCTTGTACTAGACAGAACTAAGGAATCTGCCTAAAGATTTCCCTGGGCCCTGACTTTCTCCAGGGCCCTGATGGGCTTGCAAAAGAATTTAATTTAACTGTTAGAGAATATAGTCCTGGCTTTTCTGACCTATTCCAATTAATCTACTTACTGGCTTCTGTGAGCAAAATAAAAGAATTGCTAAAAAGGGTCTGCTGGGAAAATCCTGTAGAAGTCTGTTTTTATTCTAGGGAGCCAGGTCAACTTGAAAAGAGTTATAAAAACTAAGATGAGAATGCCCTCAGTGGAAAGTGGCAAATCTTTTTGCGCACTGTTATTCATCTCAATGGGAATTTCAGAAATTAATGAAAGGACTATGAGGAGTCAGATCCTTGTCTCTGACATCAGGTGCTGCCCTGCTGGGCCTCCTTATGCAACTTGATAAATAGGAAAGACAAGAGCCGCACTGGCAAGCTCAGTTGCTCAAACCTAGGGTGTGCTCCAGAACTCCAGCAAAAGGGGGTCGGAGAGGAGGGACATGGTTACTTTTGCATCAAACTGGAGGCAGGTCCACACAGTAAGGCTAACTGAGTCTGGAAACCTGGCCGGAATGCTCTCCTGCTGTGAGAATACGGTCCAGGGGATGCTGTCCTGCTTTGAGAATATGGTCCAGAGATGCCTATTTATCCCATATTCTCCTCTATTCTCTTCCAGATGGGAAACCAGCCCTCCATTTCTCGGGACTCTCCCCTAGAATGCATCCTCAGTAACTGGTCAAAATTAACCTCCAAACCTGAAAGAAAAAGGGGTTAGTCTTTTGCAATACATCATGGCCCTAATATAAACTGGAACCAGGAGCTTGGCCAGAAAATTGAAGCCTTAATTATAACACCATTCTCCAGCTAGCTCTTTTCTGCTGTTGTCCGGGCAATGTCTAAAATCCCATGTGTCTAAGCCTTTATGGCCTTAAGGGACAATCCAGACCTTTGTAAGATTTGCAGCTAGACTTGTTTTTCCAGTTCCAAAGAAATGGACAGAAATCCCATATATCCAAGTCTTTATGGCTCTCAGGAATGACTGACCCTAAGTTATGTATTACCTGTAAACTATATCTCTCTGTAATTGCTATAAAGTCTGAAATATATATGTCCAGATGGAAAAAGAAACATTCTAAAAATAGGTGAATGAATTTGTCAGCTCTTTGCCAACATCTGGGTGGCAACCCAATTCTTGAAATATTAAAAACCACTGTTCTTATTTATAGGGCCAAAGCTATGGCTCCAAAAACAATTCCAAGCCCACCAAATTTTATCTGGACCATATTTTTTTTAAAAAAACAAAACACCTTAGCCATCTAAGCAAATCAAATGAACTGATTTCAGCTGTTAAACATTGATTGCTAAACAAGTTTTAAGTTCACCTACTTTTGGCCTTTTATTAAAATAAAAACTAGAAAATAAATTTGGAGCTGTTAATAAATGTCTTTTACTTTATTAGGTATGTCTCTTAAAGGTATGAGTGTGTTTTCCAGGAAAAGAGCTTATATTTCTAAAAGTCATGAAAAATATTTGCCAAGCAAGACAGGCAATGCTGATCATTTACTTTTAGTTGTCACTAAAAAAAAATAATAATAATAATAAATTAAGAATTGTTAAGAATTTAAATTATAGGAAAGGAAACTGTATGGCTTGATAATATAAAATATGAAGATGCATTTTTGAAGGACAAGGATTGAAATTGAGTTTTTCTCAAACTGGTTATAGCTGATTGGGTGAAAAGATTCTCTAGCCTTCTTAAAAGCTGCCTAAAGCAAATGGGGAAAAAACCAACAAGACTTGTTCCTTTTCTACAAAAGTTAGAATTCTAAGTATGTGTATGTCTTTATATGATATGTGTTCATCTATGTATTACATGTGACAGGTTTTCTGCCTCCAGATGGCATTATTAGGGTGTGATATTTTATTGGCTTAAAAAAATTAAATACCTATATCGATTAAGAAGGATTCTATGATCTGGACAAAATACTTAATATTAAAACAAATTTAAGTTTGATTAGTGTCTTTTAAAGTTATTACTATAAAATGTTTGTTTACTCAAGTTTACCAAAAAAAATTATATTATGACCTTTTAGCTAAGTATATTTGACAACCTTCCCAAAGTTTAAATTTTAAGATATTTTAAACTAAGAAATGACTTTGAGTTACTAGTATTTCAATGAGTGCCTAGAATACCTCAAGGATTTATCCTCTCTCCTAAGTTTTTTGAACTAATTAGGCTATTTAATAAGCTTGAAATTACATGGGAAGCTTTGCCAAATACAAAAATAACTGTCCTATTTGTTTGCATATATTTTCATTAAAATTGATGATCTAAAATTTTCAGCCTCTTTCAAGATGGGAGCCAAGTTCAAACAACAAGAGAAGAAAAACTCTCAGAGGTAGAAGGTGTCCTGACAGTGATACCCAGCAGGCCAGGAGTGATGTCTCCTTGTGGAGGAGTCCAGTAGTGATGCTCCAAGGGTTTATGGTTCACATATTGGAAATCTATGAATTGTTTCCAATGCTCGATGCACACTTCCAATAAGCCATGTACAGCATATTAAATAAAATCTTGCATATTATCTGTTTTTTATATATTGAAATCATGTGTTAAATCTAAAAATGTGGGGTTTATGTTTTTTTTTTGTGTGTCATTTCATAGTAATTACTATTTACCAAGAAATTTTGAAATTTTATATCTAACAAAAAGCAAAGTTATTTATCAATTGCATTATAATCAGATCGATAACTATATCATTCTAAGTTTGTAATTTACAGCCATTGTTTCATTCTGTTGCATTTGCAAATATATTGCATCTTTAAAGAAATTAATGAAAAGAACTCTGATTTACTCTAAATTAAAATTTTATGAGCAGGTCATATCTTTAAACTAGATGAAGATTTATAGAACTCTAAGGAATAACTAAACTTATGGAGTACAGCTGAACAACCAGGATAAACAAAAATTGATCATATAAGATTGCTGATTTTAAAATATTTTGTTTTCCAGATATAAGAAAACTTGTTTTTTCCTTAGGTAAGTTTGGTAAATTATATCTTCATAAGCAATATTGAAGCATTTATATATTTTTTCTCTATCTAATCCCTCCAGAATTTGGCAACTTTTAATGAGTGAGTATTATTATTTTCATTGTAATACGTTTCTTTGCATGAATTCAACAAAACTATTTTCCAATTGTAGTTTATTAACCAACACTTTGGAGTGGCATGAAAGAAAGAGACATGCCTGGATTATAGATATTATCAGAAAAGCTTAAGGAATAAAGATTGACTTTAAACCCAATAAAAGCCCACTGGAGAAATGGCCTAGTACATTTCTTGGTCACTGGTTTATGGCAGTCTTTTCAGGTAATGAACAAAGGTTCCTTTCCTGAATGATGGCAAGAAAAGAACCTCAAGACATTTGGGGGACCTCAAGAACTTGAGGAAGCCTCCCAAACTGACAGGTACTATAGAAAAGTCCAGATGGCAACTCTATGGCTTGTCTTCTGCACCCCGAGGGGTTGACTGAAGCTCAATATAAAAATTCCTTGTGAATAAAAAAATCGTTTCGGGCCGGGACCGGTTTGGCTCAATGGATAGAGCGTCGGCTTGGGGACTGAAGGATCCCGGGTTCGATTCCGGTCAAGGGCATGTACCTTGGCTGCGGGCAGATCCCCAGTAGGGGGTGTGCAAGAGGCAGCTGATCGATGACTCTCTCTCATCGATGTTTCTAACTCTCTATCTCTCTCCCTTCCTTTCTGTACAAAAATCAATAAAATATATTTTTTAAAAAAAATCGTTTCGGAGGGGCAGTGCGGTGCTGCTGGGCCCTTCCTCCTCAGCATCTTCGGCTTCTTCAGCCCCATCTGCCTCCTTACCCTCGGCTGGGCCCCTCGATCTCGGTGTATGCCCCAGCGCTGACCCCGCTGGAGATATGTCCACCCCGGCTCGGCGGCGCCTCATGCGGGACTTCAAGAGGTTGCAGGAGGATCCTCCTGCCGGAGTCAGTGGGGCTCCGTAGGAGAACAACATAATGGTTTGGAACGCGGTCATTTTCGGGCCCAAAGGGACCCCGTTTGAGGATGGAACATTTAAGCTTATAATAGAATTCACTGAGGAATATCCAAATAAACCACCTATGGTTAGATTTGTCTCTAAGATGTTTCATCCAAATGTCTATGCAGATGATAGTATATGTCTGGACATACTTCAGAACCGCTGGAGTCCAACTTATGATGTGTCTTCCATTTTAACATCAATACAGTCTCTATTGGATGAGCCCAATCCCAATAGTCCAGCAAGCAGCCAGGCCGCTCAGCTGTATCAGGAGAACAAGCGAGAATATGAGAAACGTGTTTCTGCCATAGTAGAACAGAACTGGCGTGATTGTTGTTTTGGGTGCAGCAAGTGAAGAGGATGGGCAAATGAAAACTATATATTGATGTGTTTGTCTCCTTCTTATTCTTCAGTGTCATCACATTTACTTCCATAAAAGCAAAATAGTTCTTCTGCTGTTTCCATCTTCCCACGCCAAACTTTTCCTATCCCTTCTATCTTCTCATTGAACATCAAAAACACCCCCTATGAGATCAAATGTACTGTACCTGGGTTACTTGCAAAAATTATTAATGCTTAATTCCTTTTCTGTTGTATCTCACCTCCAGCTGTGGGGCAGTATTTTGTTAATGTACTTTACACTAAGTTCCTTAAACGAATTGTTATACAAGTGGTGCTTCTGCATAGCTTGATAACCGGGATGTTATTTTTAACAAAATGATTTAAGTGTTTCATCCTGGCTGAGACACTTGTGTTGGATTTAGAAGTAACATTTGGAATATGGCCTATAAAAAACGGGGAAACAAATCCATATAAACATCCATTTTGAAAGAGATGAAAGTTTAAAAATGCATTATTTCGCCGAAACCGGTTTGGCTCAGTGGTAGAGCATCGGTCTACAGACTGAAAGGTCCCAGGTTCGATTCCAGTCAAGGGCATGTACCTTGGTTGTGAACACATCCCCGGTAAGGGGTGTGCAAGAGGCAGCTGGTTGATGTTTCTCTCTCATCGACGTTTCTAGCTTTCTATCTCTCTCCCTCCCCACTCTCTGTAAAATATCAATAAAATATATATTTTTTAAAATGCATTATTTCTAAGATCTAGCCAATATGCATTACAAGGTGGTTTTTATCGGTAGGAAGGAGAGTGTTAAAGGACACAATCAAAGGAGTACAGTCACTGTAGTAACTGACACATCCCTTCCTTGCAAGATATTCACTGGACACACCCATGCTAAATTTCAGACTACAGTCGGCCTTCAGTATCTGCAGGTACCATATCCATGGATTCAACCAACCCCAGATCGAAAATATTTGGGGATGGGGGGAGTTTTGTTGTCGATGATGTATACTAGGTAGTTAAGCCTCTGATGGTTGTGTCTGTTCTGTTGAATACTTAGGGATGACTGTACTGGAAGTCTTCCAGGTTTTTTTTTTTTTTTTTTTTTTAAGAGGTGTGGGAGCAGAGGAATGGAAACAAATTTTTAAGGTGGGGAAGGTTGGTGAATCTTTAATCTTTTATTTATTTATTTATTTATTTATTATTATTTTTTTTTAGCTCAGTATGCATTTATTGGTTGCTTCTTTCTTTTTTTTTTTTTAAATCAATCTTTATTGTTCATATTATTACAAAGGTTCCTCATTTCTTCCCCCCTCCACCAGGTTCCCACCCCACCCCCTGCCCCCTCCCCATCCCCCATTGTCCTCATCCATAGGTGCAGTTTATGTTCAGTCTCTTCTTCCCTCCCTTTCCCCAATAGTAAATCCCTTTTCAGATAGTAAATCAGTTACTTAGCATTTTCTCATATCAATAATACCTCCACATGCCCAGTGATACACTTCACACAAAAGACATTTCCCAATAGGTCCACCAGCCTCATCCAGGCCCCACCCAAGGCACTCACAGATCAACACCCCAGTCCTAAACTAACTCAACACATCCAGATCTAAGCCTTCATCACTTGATTCAGCAGACCCTCAAGTTCCCACGAAAGTTTCCAGCCATGTCTGAGAAGCAGCCGTGGGGCAGGGGCAGGCAAGGAGCGAGCTGTTCTGGGCCTGGCTGCTCAGGGCCTGGCCTCTGTTGCTTTGGTTCATTCCACAACCAGCTGCTCCGGGTCTGGTCACTGCCGCTCCCGACCTAGTTGCTCTGGACTTGGCTGCTGCTGCTCCGGGCCTGGCCGCTCCCAGCTTGGCAGCCGCTGCTCCGGGCCTGGCTGCACCCGACTCGGCTGCTCCCCCGGGCCTGGCCGCTCCCAGCCTGGCAGCCGCTGCTCCAGGCCTGGCCGCACCCGACCCGGCTGCTCCCCCGGGCCTGGCCGCTCCCAGCCTGGCAGCCGCTGCTCCGGGTCTGGCCGCACCCGACCCGGCTGCTCTGGGCTTGGCTACTGCTGTTCTGGGTCTGGCTGCTCCCACCCCGGCTGCTCTGGGCCCGGCTTCTCCGGGCCCGGCCACTCCAGGTCTGGTTGTTCCTGGACTGGCCACCCTGGGCTTGGCCGCCTCCGCCTCATGCCTGGCTGCCACTGCCCCAGGTCTGGCTACTCCAGTGCTGACTGTTGATGCTCTGGTTCTGGCTGCTGTTGTTCTGGGGCCTGGCCGTTGCTGCTCCGGGCCTGGCTGCCACTGCCTTGTGCCTGGCCACTCTAGGCCTGGCTGCCGCTGTTCCAACATTCTGTCCTTTTTTTTTTCTTTTTTCTTTTTAAAATGCATTTATGTTGCATTGTTGGCTGGTGAGTTGAGTTCTGACTTAGTCTTTGATTTTTCAAGATCTTCTTTGTATTCTTTCTTAAGTAATTTTACTATTTTTTGCTCTCACTTGATTTCTTCACATTGAGAACTTCTTTGGTTTCTTCCTCCTTGTCCCGGGAGCTCAGCAGGTTGGCCTGTGGCACCCCTTTGTTCTCCGCGGGCTCCTGCGCTGCTTCAGCCTGTTGCCGGGGACAGCGCCGCCCAGGAAGCAGCCCCCTGCCTTGGCTCCATTGCCCGAGCTCAGTGGTCAAAGGCTCAGGGGCACCCACACCCCCAGGGGCCCCGTGGCCCGCCTCCTTGCTGGTGCCCGGTTGGCTGGAGTCCGGCAGGGGCTTCCGCTCCCCTCTGCGTTCCCCCAGCCTAGAGCTTTTTTTTTTCTCCTTCCCGCTAGGGAAGTCCAGCATCAGAGTCAACAGACTATTCTCTGCGCGCAGTTTGCGCGAGTCCCAGGGGCCCGGCCTTTCGCCGCTCTCCCCGGACTCCACCTCACAGCCCCATCTCCCTCTGCCTGAGTCCGGGTCCCCAAGGATTGGCCCAGAACTGGGGTTTGGAGCCGTCCAAACTGAGGCCCAGCGCCGCCAGAGGCCTTGTTTCTTCCGGCTAGGGTAACCCAGCATCAGAGTCAACATTCAGTCCACTGCGCGCGCATTGCGCGCGACTCCCGGGGGGCCCTGCTTTTCGCCGTTTTTCCGTCTCACAGCCCCGTCTCCCCTGCTGGAGCCTGGGTCCCCAGGGTCTGGCCCATAACTGGGGCTCAGCGCTGCCGGTTCCGGGGGGCTCAGCGCTGCTGGTTCGGGGGTTCAGCCCAGGCTGGGGGTTTTATTTCCTTCCTGCTAGGGAAGGAAAGGCAGCTCCCCACCCTCTCCTCCTCTCCAGCTGCGACCTCTTCGTGCGCCCGTGCGGGGCGGGCGAGCAGCATGTCTCCATACCTTAGGCTTTTTTTCAGCTCCTCTGATTTTCCTTCTGGTTTTCTCTTTCCTTCTTGTTGTAGAATTTTCAGTCAGTCGACTACCTGTAGCTCTGGGCAATGTCCACTCTACATCTTAGTTGTATTCCATTGAAATTGTTGTGTGCTGCCGCGGTTAGATGTCTACCCGAGCAGCCATCTTGGATCCTCTCGAATCTTTAATCTTTTAAAAGTAATGCTACTTTAGATGAACAAATTTATAATCTCCCCTCATTGTTCAGAGTTTTAACCCAATGAAAAGAGCGTATCTGTGGCAAACTGTTTTCCACGAAAATCCTGAATTAATGCTGCATGCTTTAGTTTCTTCTTTCCTTTCAGTATTATAAAAACCTTAAAGTCAATGTTTGCAATCTTTCTTTGGACATTTATACTTTGAAATAGTAACCTTTTAAGTAGCAGTGTGGGACAAGGCTTGTAAATGTTTTGTCTAAATATTCCATTGTCACCTTGTGTGCATTTATCACTCTTCTAAATCTAACTTTGCACAAGTAACCCATGTAAAAATGTACATTTTTCAAAAGTTGTAAATAAAAATAAACTTTAAAAAAATCTAGCAAAGCAGATTTGAAAAATCCTATATGACCAATATTCTTATATCCATGCAAATAATCAGTCCAAATTGTTATTGGGTTAATAAGACCCTACAAATGATGGAGTTGTGGGCTCCTCACAATTTTAATGCCAAGGCCAACATGATCTGTTCCTTTCTCTTTATTGCCGGTCCCACCTTTCACCTTCTGCTCTTCTTCAGCCACACTGGCTTCCCTGCTGTTCTCCAGCATCCAGACCCACTGCTGCCCAGGGCCCTGGCACCTGTGACCCTCTGATGCCATGCCCTTCCTCCATATGATGGGTTCTCTTCTTCAGCACTTTCAAGTTTGTGCTCTTGGCTTGCCCTCAAAGGTGATGACCTACTGTGGCTCCATCCCTCACCACTTGGACCTTATGTGGGCATGTGGCAAACCACCTAGACCTGGGCTGGGGTGGAAAGAGTAGATAGCTTGTAGGTAAGCATCACCCTGGATTCTCTAGTAGAATTTCCATTTCCTGTATCCTCTCTAGATTTCAGTTTCCCACCTTGTTTTGTATATGTTAATCCTTACATGAGAATATTTTTCCCCATTGATTTTTAGAGAGAGTGAAAGGGAGGAAAAGAGGGAGAGAGGGAGGGAAGGGGAGAGAGAGAGAGAGAGAGAGAGAGAGAGAGAGAGAGAGAGATCAATGTGAGAGAAACACATCAATTGGTTGCCTCTTCCATGAGCCCTGACTAGGGGGGCCAGGGATAGAACTAGAACCTGCAACCCAGGTAGCTGCCCTTGACTGGTAATTAAACCCAGGACTCATTTACCTCTGAGCAACAATGGATAGCGCCTGTTTCCCACCTTTGATCCTCTGACTTCTAATGTCCTCAAATCTGTCATCTGAGTCATTCTCCCATGCCAGATGCTTAAGGCCCATTGAAAAGTTAGAGCCTTTGCAGGAACAAACAATGACTTGATATAAGAGAGAAGGCTGCTGGGGTGAAGGCACCAGCAAGGGCTAATGAGAAAAATACCCACGTAGGAGCATGGTCTTTCACAGGTGAGCTCACATGCCAGGAAGAGTGTGTGTGTGTGTGGGGGGGGGGGGAGGGATGGTAGC